CTTTGATGTAAGCCGCCCAGAGGCCTCAGAGAGTGGGCGGCATAGAAATATGACTAATAAATAAATAATAAATAAATAGCTTCACTTCTCCAACTGAGCACCAGTGGAAAGAGGGGAAACGTCTAGTGGGAAAAGCTTCTATCAACTGCTCCTCATAACCTAGAATGGTGCTTGAGTTGATGAGAAAGTGAGTTTTGAAAGATAGGAAAACAAATTTGTTCACATTTGCTATGTCTTTATGCAAGTCTTTTGCATGGGTTCATTCAAAGGCACCCAACTACCAATTAATTGCCAAAATGTTTTGAGAACCTAAAGGTATGCCATTTTGAAATGATTAGTGAGGCATCTTCTGGCTATGGTGAGGAACATGTGAGGATGATCTCTAAACTTTTTATTATTATTATAACATAAAATGACATTACAAGACATACAACATTTATATATATACTCTAGAGATCTCTAAACTTTAATGTGCTTTATTGGTGTTATATGAACCAGATATTGCGATTTGTAAATAATGGCCTTGAGTTTATGCAAACCAAGCTGATTATAATTTATCAGCTAAGCCATGGCTAAGCAAATGTGGCTTAATATGATAAATAAAGTTATGCTTGTGTAGTGGGCTATTCAGTAAATAAAGCAAGCAATGAACCTTCTTTTAAAAATGTATTATGTGACTATGACTTCTGTATATCTTTGATAGTACTAGACGTTCATCTTTATGCATGTTCCATAACATTCATCTTTTATTAGTCTGTGAAATTCTTCTTAGGCTATTTGAATTAAGTTTCTCACAAGGAAATCTAAAATCTCACTGGGTTTTGTTAGAGATCTAAAATTATTATGTGTGCATAGAGGGAGGGTTAAGTGTATTTAACTAGATTTCAATATAATATGAGTGGAAGGGTGGAAGAAACAAAATTATCTATGATTTTGTGCACCTGTGCTTAATTAATAGTTTAATTTTCAACTAGAAATCATGTTTTCTCAATCTAGGCTCTGCATTTGGACTTTATCTGTTCCAGAAGGGAGGCATATAGTGTTGAATTTTTCTCACTTTGATGTGGAGCCAGATGCATTCTGTGACTATGATTCTTTGTCAGTGATTTCTATGGATGATAGACTCATTGGTAAGTTTCTTCTTCAAAATGTATTGCCACAAGCTGGCTTCTAATTAAAAACAGAAGTTTCTGCTATTGTTGACATTTCTTTGACAATCAAAACTATCTTCTACTCAAAAGTCAGCATTACTTGACACTTTATTGAACTGAACAACCACTTACCACCTGCAAAGAAAATTTAAATCTGTGGGTTTTATGGCATAGACAGAAAAATCATCCATATATTCCTCTATCGTCAAAGTGGCAAGAATGTTTCAGCAAATGACCACATATTTTTAAAATTAGTCTTTGAAAGTTGCAAGGATGAATGTGCGACCCTAATAATAATAACAGCCATGTCTATGAGTATCAATATTTTCATTTCTACATTTTGCCTTTTAGGGAAATTTTGTGGAATGGACCTACCACTACCTATTTTGATTGGTTCAAACAGTGTAAGATTGAAATTTGTCTCAGATAACAAGGACGAAGGAACTGGATTTAGCATGACATACCAAGCTATTAAGCCAGCTGGTTTTCTAGGTAAATATTAATGCTCTTGATCAATCCATAGTGAATATTCAGATTATTCTTGATTTGAGATACTGCATAATCAATATAAGAATACATCATGAAGAACAGAATGGCATTTTGGAGCCTTACCTACCGTGGATTTATCTCTCTCTCTCCTTCCCTTTCAAGAAACAAATGTGGTCTTTATGAACTTCTGAATGCCTGAACTTTATGAAGAAGTACCAGGTTCTTTGAGGAATAACTTAAGATATCACAAGACAGGATGGAATTCAGATATGAATTGACTTTATATATAATAAGATGTTTACACTCTAGAACTGAGCTCTTACTGATACAAATGAACCGATCCACATCAACTTTAGAACTGGCCACTCTGACAAAAGAGATACTACCACAAGCAAGGCCAAACTATCTATCCACTATTCAAATATATTCTTATGTTACCATTTGTAGTAACATTATTCCTTTGAAAACTGTTTTCATTCATCATCTAAGTAATAATTCTTTCCCTCTAATGGGATATTGCATACTGTGATAGGACAACATAACCTTCTAAATGTTTGAAACAGCTTATTTATTTTGAAGAAATTTTGGTTTCTTTTTAGATTCTGGTTGTGGATCTCTAGCAGTTCTCTTTGAAGAAGGAACAGTGCAAAGCATGCACTATCCGGAAGCATATAATAACCTGGCAGAATGCCAATGGATTGTTCATGCTCCAGAGAATCAAGTTATTAAGGTATAAGTCACATGCATAAAATATTTATTTCAATCAAAATGTATACATATTTGATTGGGTACAAATGTTCAAAGTTGCACTTTGCCACTTTTTCTGTTCATGAATTTGATTGTATGTATGTATGTATGTATGTATGTATGTATGTATGTATGTATGTATTTCTCTTTAGCCAGGTTCTTCCTATGTAAATCAAGATTTTTATGCAGCCCTAGTTCAGTGAAATCACAATCCACTAGTTTCTAGGCTTTTTTCAGGCAGCCAGCAAGCACCCTGCTGCCCATTGGGAGACTAATCTTTCAAAGACCCTGGATCACAGGGGAACTGCCAGAGGATCAGAAAAGAGCTGATGTAGTTCCCATCTTCAAAAAAGGAAAAAAAAATAGATCCAGGAAACTACAGACCTATCAGCCTGACCTCAATACCAGGGAAGATTCTGGAAAAGATAATCAAACAACGAATCACTGAACACCTAGAAGCAAACCAAGTAATAACCAAAAGTCAACACGGGTTTGTCAAAAACAGATCATGCCAGACTAATCTTCTTTGACAAAGTGACAAAATTAGTGGACCAGAGGAATGCTGTCGATATAATTTACTTGGACTTTAGTAAAGCATTTGATAAAGTAGACCATTCTACTAGATAAAGTAGAAAAATGTGGGTTAGACAGCATCACCACCAGATGGATTCGTAACTGGCTGACCAACCACACTCAATGTGTAGTCCTCAATGGAACTGCATCTACATGGAAGTAAGTATGCAGTGGTGTACCCCAGGGCTCTGTTTTAGGCCCAGTGCTCTTCAACATCTTCATCAATGACTTGGACGAGGGGATAGATGGGGAACTCACCAAATTTGCAGATGACACCAAGCTGGCAGGAATAGCCAACACTCCAGAAGATAGGCTCAAGATACAGAAGGATCTTGACAGACTTGAACATTGGGCGCTATCTAACAAAATGAAATTCAACAGTGAAAAAAGCAAGGTTCTACATTTAGGGAAGAAAAACAAAATGCACAGGTACCGTATATGTGGTACCTTGCTCAATAGTAGTAACTGTGAGAGGGATCTTGGAGTCCTAGTGGACAACCATTTAGATATGAGCCAGCAGTGTGCAGCAGCTGCCAAAAAAGCCAACACAGTTTTGGGCTGCATAAACAGAGGGATAGAATCAAGATCATGTGAAGTGTTAATGGCACTTTATAATGCCTTGGTAAGGCCAACTTGGAATATGGCATTCAGTTTTGGTCACCACAATGTAAAAAAAATGTTGAGACTCTAGAAAGAGTGCAGAGAAGAGCAACAAAGATTATTAGGAGACTGAAGGCTAAAACATATGAAGAACGGTTGCAGGAACTGGGTATGTCTAGTCTGATGAAGAGAAGGATTAGGGGAGACATGATAGCAGTGTTCCAATATCTCAGGGGTTGCCACAAAGAAGAGGGAGTCAAACTATTCTTCAAAGCACCTGAGGGTAGAACAAGAAGCAATGGGTGGAAACTAATTAAGGAGAGAAGCAATTTAGAACTAAGGAGAAATTTCCTGACAATTAGAACAATTAATCAGTGGAACAACTTGTCTGCAGAAGTTGTGAATGCCTCAACACCGGAAATTTTTAAGAAGAAGTTGGATAACCATTTGTCTGAAGTGGTGTAGGGTTTCCTGCCTGGGCAGGGGGTTGGACTAGAAGACCTCCAAGGTCCCTTCCAACTCTGTTATTCTATTCTATTCTATATATTACTTTGTAAGAATATTATTTTTTTCTAATATGGAATCCAACATTTTTAGTATTGAGCTTGACTATCTTCAGCTTGGCTTTTATCCTATGTCCCTGTCGTTCTGATTACATCACATAAATAAATGTTTGTTTTTATATCAATCCTGATTGCTGAAGTTTTAAAACATGAGGATATTGCTATTCTCATTTTGAGATTTGCCAGTATATTAAATAGTAGTAAACTAAACTCTGGATCTATTTTTTAATTAAACGTTTGTAAAATGAAATTTTTAATATTTTAAGAACGTGAAACCTCATCTTCTGCATATTTCTTGGGAAGAGGATAATAGTATTTGTTTGTGCTTTGTTGAATGAAGTTTTTCTTAAGCACCATGTTGGATCAATGGTTTAACTGTCTGGTAATAGTAAGATCTGTAAGAATAAGAAAAGCAAAACATATTTATTTAAAATCAAATTCCTTTGTTTTGGATGAATGTCAGTTCTTCCCTGTTTTTATTTTTCTGAAGCTCGCCTATGAACACTTTGAACTGGAAGAAAATGAAGACTGCAGTTATGACTCAGTGACAGTCTATGAAAATGTTGAAAAGGAGAAAGAAATAGGTCTGTTATATTCCTTTCTGAATTGTGGGTTGATTCAGTTCTAATGGTTCTTTTGTATGTGCAGAAAGGAATTAAATTAAGAATGCTGGTATAGTTGATTGGCTTTATAGCTGCAAGATGCATGGTTTCCCATTTACCTTTGCTTGAGTTTTTCTACCATATTGGTGGTTATCTCTTATACATAATCTGAGTCCATCATCTGTACTATATATATATCTTTAGCCAAGTTCTTCCTACGTAAACCAAGATTTTTATGCAGCCCTAGTTCAGTGAAATCACAATCCACTAGTTTCTAGGCTTTTTTTTCTGGCAGCCAGCAAACACTCTGCTGCCCATTGGGAGACTATATATATATTATATATACAACACAGATCCACTGCTAGAGCTCTTGTATCATAGATCCAGATTCAGAAATTGTGTCTGCACACATACATCTATACAGTGTAATTTATCTGTCCGTCTCCCCTATTTGCAAAGCTTAAAATCAAGATAATTATTACTTGATTACTTTATAGAGTTAATTGTGCCCTTGGGTAATACCTGCAGTTTTACAAATGCTAAGAGGGGTGGAAACATCAAAAGAAAATAGCAAAGGGCACCAAAGATGCTTCTATAAAAGCACAGGCATGGCTTGACAGGTGACTTTATATATTAGAGGGGCTTCTCCTGTGTCTTTGCCTTCGTTGGAATGGAGCCTCTCCTGTCACCTGAAGGTTATCTTCAACAAAACATGTGGGACTTTGGGGGAAAAAATTCCACTCAATCATGTTTGATTTTCAGAGACTGTTGGTCCCTTCACTGTTCTAGGTAGTTTTTTCAGAAGTGGCTTAGCATTGTCTACTTCTAGGGCTGGCAGACTAATTGGTCCAAGGTCATCCAGCTGGCTTTGTGTCTAAGTCAGGACTAGAACTCATGGTCTCTTGATTTCTAGCCTGATGCTTTAGCTACTACACCAAGCTGGCTCTCTATTAATAATAACATTCATTATATTTATATTGTTTAAACTAAATAGTATAAATTTATTGCATATTTTAAAAATATACTGATGAAACAAATATAATTTACCATTTGTTACCACCTTCAGTAGATGGGGGAACGATCATCTGACAAGGCCAAAGAGCCACATTTTCCAAATGGATCAATCAAGTCTAATATTAGGTTATTGCAGTTTGAAAGAAATTGATATTGTGTGAAACAGATAACCAAGCAAAACCTATTAGAAATATATAAGTACAAACATTAGTTGTTGTATCCTCCATATACTTATTTAGAATGCTCATTTCATTGAGAAGACCAAGCTGAAGACACGGTGTGGATTTTAGTATTTTATCTTTTAAAAAGTGGTAGTTTGTTGTTATGATCTTATCATTCGTTCATTCACTGATTCATTTTCTTAGCTCGATCATGTGGATTTGCTGTCCCGGCACCAGTTTTAAGTTCCTCTAACACAATGCTTATCCAGTTTCATTCTGATGAAACAGAGACCTACAGTGGGTTCAAAGCTGTATTTTTCTTCATTGATGTTGCAGGTAAAGAAATTATTTGTATGAACAGCACATGTGTTTTAGTTCTGCATACATGCCCATAATACATTTTGTCCACTTCAGTATGTTGTTTATAGCAGCAAACTGCTTTCAAATTGCTAGAGATTTCAGTGGATCATTAATACATTTTTAATTCTGACAAATCAAGTCATAATCCATACTTTAATCACATTTCTCCTGCCTTTCTGTTTTCCTTTTCCCCCCCAATTTTTATTTATAAGTACAAACTAAACAGAACAATGAAATGTACAAAACATAAAAACATATAAACACCCATTTCAATAAATGTCCAGTTTGTCGCAACTGTAATATACATTTCTCTTTGTATTTTGACTCTTCCTTATTTGGTCATTCCCTTTTGTCTATCTACTATTGATCTTTGTTGACCTATTTCTGTTCTTTGTTTCCATCATACTATATTTGGTCATTTTGTTTACTTCCTATTGCTTCATCTCTTTCCTATCTTTCAACCAACTATACCACTTTTCCCATACTAAGTAAAAGTCGTGTTCTTCCCTATTTTGTAATTCCTTTGTGAGTCTATCTAATTCCGCACATTCCATAATTTTATTGATTACTTTATCTGGTGTTGGTATATCACTACTCTTCCAGTGTTGCGCGTATAGTATTCGTGCTGCTGTTATCATATGTATAATTAAATATGTTGTTTCTTTTTTGTAGTGTCCATTTACTATGCCTAGTAGGAAGCTTTCTGGTCTTAGTTCTATCTTTTGGTGTGTTATTTCCTCTATTTGTATTTTGATCCTTTGCCAATATTGTTTCGCCATTGGGCAGGTCCACCACATATGGTAATAGGTGCCTTTGTGGTGGTTGCATTTCCAACATGTTGATGGCGTGCCAGGGAACATTCTTGCCAATCTGGCTGGTGGCAAGTGCCACCTATAAAACATTTTATAGAGATTTCATCTGCCACTCCAGTTGTATTCTTTGTACTAATCCTTTGTACTAACAGACCTTTAGTATAGTAAAATAGGCAAAATATGGAAGTGTAATTAAGCCATGGTGCTTCAAATTGCAGACCATAAATTAAACCAGTTACTTATCTGCATATATATGTAGTTGTAAACTGAATTTTTATCTTTCCTGGTGAAAGCTAAGTAACATTCATTTCAGGAATTCTGAGAATGCTTCTGTGTGCTTCTTCTTCTGGTTTTGTTAGATTTAAACATAACAAATTCAAGCGGTGGAGTGATACTTGAAGAAATCAGTGACCCTGCAAATGAAACAGACATGCCTGGTAAATATGTTTCTCCTGAGATTCTTTTTAATAGCCACAAAGAAGGGGAAAGGGAAAGCAGAGAGGAATCCCGAATTTAATTTGTAAATATTCTTGGAATAAATGTGGCACATACTGCAATACAACATACGCAGAATTATATAAAGTTTCTGTAAGCATTCTATTGTCACTCATCTAATCTAGGTGGAAACTGTGTTACTCTAATAAGTAATTCATGGATGAATCCACTTATTTAACAATGAACCTCACAGATTAAAAACCCAGATTTTTGTACATTCTTTTATAGAATATTGGCCAATCAGACTCTCTATCTATTGGGTTACACAAAGGCTCCATTATAGCAGGAAGGCTTTAATGAAGAGCAAAAAAAAAAAAAAGATGGGTGATAACCCAGCAATGCTGGCTCATCAAGTATTTTTCTAGCAAGAATTGTGGAATGCCATAGTGAAGTGACTTTCTTCTTTATGGATAGAGATGGGATGCAGTAGCCATCACTTGGCCATTGCAAACTTGTAGAATGACTAGGGATTTGAAGTATGGATACTAACCGAAGGTCATTCAATGGATTTACTGTCCATTTGGAAAAACAGTGCTCACTTGGGACAGCCACTGCACACCTTCCCTACCTCTTCTTTACACCAAATTTTAGACTGGCAAATTTCCATTGCTGTGCTGCTGTTAATGATAACTTGCCTAGAGCAGTATTTCTCAAATTTGACAATTTTAAGATGGGTGGACTTCATCTTCCAGAATTTTTCAGCCAGCATCCTAAGCAATCTGAAGAGTCAGCTAAAGGTAAATAGCATTACGTTTTCCATGAAGAAATGTCATGCTCTATGTTCACTTTTTCTCTGTCAGCAGATGATAGCTGTGGATTAGCATCTAACCAGCCTAGATTTCTCTTTAGTCGGATAGTTGGCGGTGAGGAAGCTGTGCCGTATTCCTGGCCTTGGCAGGCCAGCTTGCAAATTTTGGATGAAAACATCTGTGGTGGAGCTGTTCTCACAAGAACATGGGTTGTTACTGCTGCTCATTGTTTAAAAAAAGAGTAAGTACACTATGGATACTCTAGTTTTGAGAAAGACGAAGTCTTGCAAAACTTGCGAAGTATTGAGAGAGACAAAGGCCTGCTTAACAAGGCCTCTGGCGACGAAAAAGTAGGCCCAGAAGGCCACGTGGGAGCCTCTGGGTGTCCTTTCTGGCTGAAGATCCACTTGACAAAGCTTCTGGCAATGAAAAAGGAGGCCCAGAAGCCTTCCTTTCTCATGGGCAAAGCACTTGAGGATTGTGTCCCTGTCGGCTTCGGCAGCCCTTTTCAAAAAGCCTTTGCTGAAGGAACAGAGTTTCGAAGGGAGGTGTCTGCCCCTTCCAAACTCCGTTGGTGCCAACAAAGGCTTTTTGTAAAGGGCTGCCTATGGGAAAGTAATCTCCCTGCAGGCTTCGGCAAGGAAACGGTGAACGGAGGGAAGGCCTGAAGGATCGAAGTTTCCCCTCCGTTTGCAAACATCCAGGCCTCAATTCGCAGATAATAGAAGCCTAAAGTGTGAGATCATATGAGATCAGTAGCACGAGCTCTCACGCTACTGATCTTGCATGATCTCACGGTACGTTAGGCCTTTGTTCTCTGAGAATGTACCGAAAGCCTGAAGCAATGAAGCAGGCAAAGAAACTGTGACAGAGAGGAAATCTTTGCAAGGTAAGTGAGTCTCCAGAGGCAAAGTGCCTGTGAAGACCTGGCTGGGGATGGGTGGGGGGAATAAGCAGGGTGAATGTTGCAGAGCCTCTGTGGTTGTTCGTAAGAGCGAACAACTGCTGCGGTGCTGCAATATTCAAAATTTCAGGACTTGTTACTGCATAACTTCGAATGTTCACTAAGGGAACACTCGTAACCTGCGGATTACCTGTATTTGATCAAATCCACCACAATACATTTGACAAATCCTATCCAGTTCTCAAGATATAATGTTTTGTATCTTCTAATTCTGAATACTAAGGTCTTCACACAATTCTGATTCAATTTCAGGACAATCATACTCATGGTTTGCCTCACCTCATTATACCAATATATAACTCTCAACTCTCTTCTGCAACTTTAACTACATTAAGTGGGCATGATATTAATATATTCTGTGGATTTAATGGCAAAGTCCCTCTCTGATAACTATTGATAGTCATGTGGCTGCCTGTTGCTACATGACACTTACAACATTTACATGTAACATTTATGTTCTCCTTTCTTCTCATTAGTGAGGCTCTATGAAATAAATTGGAAGTTTCCATCCCTATCAAACAACTGGACATTTTTAAACATAGTAAATATATTGAATTTTTTTTTATATTATATAATCATATATTATAACACCTAGTGGCAATATGAACTTACTTGGTTTGTGATCAATACTGGATTCTTATTTCAAATTCAGTATTTTTGTTTATCTACCAATGAATAACTGTGTAGAGCAGTATGAGAGATGCTATACTTGAACTGATTAAAGCAATATTTGAATTATATTGTTTTTCTAGGGGAAAATATCAAGATCTTTGGAGAGTGGTGGTGGGCACTCATGATATAAAAGAGCAAGATCAGAGCAGCCAAGTTAGTACAAGTTGTTCTTTCTTTATGACATAATGTGAGTTTATCGTGAACATATAGTACTCTATATAATCTATGAGCCTCAGTTCTTTTAAGGAAAGTGATCCTTGTTAGTTGAACTGAAAACGGTTTAGGTACTACCATATTTTTCGGAGTATAAAACACACCTTTTCCCCCCAAAAAAGAAGGTGAAAATCTGGGTGCGTCTTATACTCCGAATGTAGCCCTGCCCAGCCTCGCAAACAGAGATTTCAGAGCCTGAAAGAAGCCTTTGAAAGAAGCTTCAGAAAAAAAGGCTCTGAAAGGCTTTTATCTAAAATAATATGGCAAGCAACAAAAGAAGAATTAGTAAAGGTTCTAACCAAACTATGTTAACAAATCTGGAGAATGACACAATAACCAACAGATTGGAAGAGGTAAAACTACATACCAATACCAAAAAAAGGAGATTGAACAGAGTACAGAAAAAGCCTTTTTTTCTAAAGCTCTGTTTCGGAGGCTTTCAGAAGCAGAAAAAAAAGCAAGGCACAGAGCGCACAACCAATGAACCTGTTGCTAAAATTCACCTCTGGAAACAGCTGATTGGGGGTATTCCAGGAGGCCGATCCACCCACCAATCAGCTTTTTTCTTATTTTCCTTCCCAAAAACTAAGGTGCGTCTTATACTCCGAAAAATACGGTATTTTGCATTTTATAATACAGAAGCATGTTTCTGGTAAAGCCAGTCTTACAGGATTTTGAAGCAATGTGGAACTTGTCAAACTTGTTCGGTTTAAGTATTGAAGTGTTTTGTTGAAGCATTTGCGCTATTAGCTATGATTTCTATTTGGATAAGCAAATAGTTTCTAGCCTAATAGAGCTTTTTAAAGTGTTTGGTTCTGCTGCAGAATTAAATTTACTGTATCTAAGACAGCTAGGCTAGAAAATGGCTTTCTTTGAATTCTGGGTATTATTTCCTTCGTTTTTCTTGCTTTTTGTTTTTGTTTTTCTTTTTATTAGCTATATTTTTATTGTTTTTCATTATCTAGTAGTAAATAAGGAGTTGGAATATGAATCATTAAATATAGAGATTTGATTATTAGCTGATCCTAGGGAATTTTGAGTATCATTGTGTGAAGCAAGAACATCCCACTCTGTGTTGTGCTAACTGGTAGATGGTGAAGAGTTGCCTGGATTGAATGGCCTACAGCAGGAGTCCCAACTGTGGCACTTTCCAGGTATATGTACTTCAACTCCCAAAATCCCGCAGCCAGCATAACCATCGCTGAGAATTCTGGGAGTTGAAGTCCGCCCACCTTCAATTTGCCAAAGTTGGGAAAAACTGGTCTACAGATAAGATGTACATTTGAAAAATGTCATTACAGGCAGTCCCTGTCTTATGACCATTCATTTAGTGACAGTTTGAAGTTACAATAGGATTCATATTCATGATGGTTGCAGTGTCCTATGGTCAGATGATCATGATTTGCAACCTTCTGACCTGGCTGCTGACGAGCAAAGTCAAACCTTGTAGGGGAGATAAGCGGCATAAAAAATGTACTTATTTATTCTTAAAAAATTAATAAGCAAATAAACGGGGAAAGTCAGACTCACTTAATAATTGTATTGTGTTTCCCCGAAAATAAGACTCTGTCTTATATTTTTTTGAACCCTGAAATAAGCACTTGGCCTTATTTTCGGGGTGGTCTTATTTTGGGGCATGTAGAGCAAGACGGGGCTCCTCTTGCCATCTTACTTGATTTCCAGCTCTGTCTCCCTAACCCTAACCAGAGGAAATGGCGGGGACCAGCTGCGCAAGTGCTTCTAAAATATTTTTGGGGAGGGCTTATTTTCAGGGAGGGTTTATTTTCAGGAGGGGTTTAGTTTAGCACATGCGCTCAAAAGCCCTATTGGGCTTATTATCAGGGGATGACTTATTTTTGGGGAAAAGGAGTATCATTCACTTAACAAATGCAGTAAGAACAGTCATAAAATTGGGTCTGGTCACATTAAGATTTACTTAATAACTGCATTGCTAAGTGACTGAAATTCTGGTTCCCAGTGTGGTTGTAAGTCAAAGACTTCCTGTACTATATAATAACACTGGACAATTAATAAAAAAGAGCCCTGATCTTTAGCCTGACGTCTTTAATGTACCTAGCCACCCAGTGCTATAGGAGAAGATTATTTAGGATATCTAAAAAGCACAGGTGTATTACCTGCATCTTAAGAGTTAATGCTGTAAGTAAAGGCTGTAGTATAGTAACTTCAACAAAGGGGACTATTATTTTTAATGTGATGGATGGTTGAGTATGATTAAATGCATGAGAAGAAATCATCTTAGTTAATGCTTAAGTTTAGATAAAAATAAAACTAAATCAAATCTGTTCTGGACCTGCACACTTTTTAGTATGTGGCTCCCAGCATGCCATTAAAAGCTAAATGCAACCTTTGACTTAAAAAGTTACACATTCCTGTCCAAAAAAAAATAAAGCAAACAACCCCGGGCAATTTGATGCCAGGATCAGGATGATATAATGATTATGTTCAGGTCACTTTAGAGGAGGCATGTGGGACCAGCTCTCATTCTCAGCCTTCCAGGTGTTATACACAATGCTACAAGCCCCACAGAATTTAATCCTTTCATTTAGGGAATGCTTCTCTCCTGCACTACTCTTATACTATTGCTCTCATAAGGAGCAGACGCCTTTCATGCCTGTTATTTACTCTACCTTCTAAGTAACAAGTTAGAAGCATCAGTCAAGCAAGAGGTTTGCAGGAAAGTATTATGCTTTTTTATGATATGGCCTGCTTTGCACTGGATTTCTATAGTGGATTACTATTTTGCCTATCTTATTTATTTATTTATTTATTGGTTCGATTTATATATCACCCTTCTCCGGAGACTCAGGGCGGCTTACAATGCGTTAAGCAATAGCTTTCATACTTTTGTATATACCTGCTTAGTAGGGCTTTCGGCCCCACCTAAGCGGTGTTCTATTTTATACAAAGTCAGCTTATTGCCCCCACAATCCGGGTCCTCATTTTACCTACCTCGGAAGAATGGAAGGCTGAGTCAACCTTGAGCCTGGTGAGATTTGAACTTGCAGTAATTGCAGGCAGCTGGTGCTACTTAACAGCACTTTAGTCTGCTGCGCCACCAAGGCTCTTATTCTATCGCTGGCTCTTGCCTCTCATGAAAAGAAAAGATTTCTTTCTAAACAGCTAGAGATAGTCCTCGACTTATGACCATTTGTTTAGAGACTATTTAAAGTTATGATGGCACGGAAAAATTGACTTATGACTCATGTCACACAACTTTTGCAAGCATTCCCATGATCATGTGATCAAAATTCAGGGCCTTTGGTAACTGGTGTGTATTTACAATGGTTATAGCTTCCAGCAAACAAAGTCAATTGGGGAAACAGATTAGCTTAACAAATGTGTGAATCACTTAGCTGCAGTGATTTGCGTTAACAACTGTAGCAAAAAAATAAATAAAAATCAGGCATGAGTCACTTAACAACCACCCTGCTTAGCAACAGAAATTCTGGTCCCAACTGTGGTTGTAGGTCAAGGACTTCTTATATCGAACTCTCCTACATCAATGTCTCAGACAGATCAACTGGAATGCACCCGTGTTGATCAGCATATCCAATTTATTTGAGCATATATTCTCACATAACATGCTGCCATGATTTTTCCCATGTGTAGAAAAGATTGGTGAAGCAGTACATCACACATCCGGATTTTAACACCAGTACTCTGGATTCAGACATTGCTCTAGTGGAACTTACTGAGCCTTTAGAATTCAATCATTATGTTCATTCAGTGTGCCTCCCGGAGCAAGAGGATAAGGTTGAACCTTCAAGAATTTGTGTAATTACAGGTTGGGGCAATCAGTATGAAGGTGAGCATTACCCATTCCATTGAAAAAAATATCTTCATTCGTTCATTCATTCGTTTAGCCAGAATGATTCTTATCCTATCTGTCAGCCATGGAAGGATATGAAAAAAAAGATGGATTAATTATAGAAAATAAGACTGCAAGAATGATACATATCAGCTCAGCATGTTAGATTCAGACATGGTTAGAAGATGCTTTTTATATCAAGAATTATACTTCCTTATAGGCAATCTCTTGGGGGAGGTCCAACACAAGGCCAAACCAGTAGTAGGCAATAGAATAGAACAGAATACTTTATTGGCCAAGTGTGATTGGACACACAAGGAATTTGTCTTAGGTGTATATGCTCTCAGTGCACATAAGGAGAATAAAATACATTCATCAAGAGTAAAAAGATACAACATCACTTGACCAGTGATAGTCAAAGTTACTAATAAGCTATCAAATCGTACTAGGAAACAAATAAAAACAATATAATTGAAAAATACAAGCAACATGGTTATAGTAATAAGTGGGAAGAGATAGATATTAGTAAGGAAGAGAAGAATAATAGTAATTCAGTCTTAGTAAATTATTTGACAGTGTTGTGGGAATTAGTTGTTAAGCAGTGATGGCATTCGGGAAAAAAACTGTCCTTGTGCCTCCCTTTTTCATTTTGACTCCCACACCACTCTTTTTGTATTACTTTCTCCCTCTTCTTCTTCCTCAGGGAGGTCTGAGCACTCTTGCCAGATGTCCAAAGTGATTTCATAGTGGGATTTTGAAATGAGACCAAGGGCTCTGTAAAATCAGATTGAATATCACAAGTTGCTATCTTCCTTTTAAAGATTAAGGCCCTCTTTATTGCTTTCTTCATTGTAAACGATTTGTTTTTCCCCTCAAGACAGAGCACAGTCAAGTAAACTGCATCAACTCAGAGTTCCTATTTTGGTTTCTGAAGAATGTCAGAAATATTATGTGGACCATCCTGGTGTGGTCAACAAAAGGATGTTCTGTGCTGGATTTCCTGCAGAAGGGGGAAAGGATGGATGTACAGTAAGCTGCCTATGGAGTATATGTATTTCACAAATTCTGAAACTCTACTATAATATTTCTTTGACAAACAGGTTTTGTTAACATAACCTGTATTCCTTTTCACTAGGGTGATTCTGGAGGCCCACTGGTTTGTCCTGCAAAAGACTCAAGCTACTACACCCTTAATGGAATAATCAGCTGGGGCCTTGGTTGTGGAAGAAAAGGCTATCCAGGAGTCTATACAAATGTTGCTATTTTTGCTGATTGGATCAGTCAATACATATATGGAAAAAATAGTATGTTCATTTTAACAGCAGCTCTTCAATTTTGATCTGCATTTTCTTCATAGGCATACCTGCACAAAAACTGTTACAGACTGACTGCTGCCCTTTGCATTATGTCAGAAAAACAATCTCAGTGTAATTCTGCTCAGTCAATCAAGTAATACTGCTCCAGCCCTTTAAAGTTCAATGTGTAGAAGCCAGCAGGGGAATTACAAACACAATTACCAATAAATTATTCCAATCAAATTGTTGTAAGAGATGACAGAGCTATTTTCTGTTGTCCACTCCCGCCCTACCCAAAATGCCCTCTTACCTGATTTAGGAAAGCATTCTTCAGAACCAGGACAGGAAGTTTATAATCTGCATTCCCTGGGAGCAAAGTTACTCCCACCTTATGACCTGACATTCAAGAACAGGAATTTCCAAACCCCAAGGGAAATTTATTGTATTGTCATAGCTCTCACTACAAAGTGGGGGGGGGGGCATGTGGGGAAGGGTTGCTTCATGTTAGTTAACTGAAGAGAAGGATAATTCATGCTTTCAAAAAGCCCAAAGCCCTTCCAGCTGTATTTGCTTTCAAGTTGTTAACTTTGCAAGAATTCTTTTGTAATTTACCTGTGACCTGTGTTGACCAATCTGGTTTAATGATTTCTACATTTCTCTCCATGTGTGGTTCTGTATACTGGACTGTAGGTTAGATTTCATGGAAGCAAAACGCAAAATCTTTTTAAAGCTCCTTTGTATGTTTGTGCAGAGATCCTTAAGTTACGAGAAGTACTCTGGATCTTGAGAAATCTTTTCTTTACCAACTCCTGCAATTTTATTTTCAGATTAATTTTTTTTTTTGAGCCAGAGCTCATTTCTTCCAGTTGGTCTGGCCATTTCTGCATTAACAGTGGAGTTGGGCTACGATCCCAAGAGACATGGCAGATGAGTCTCACACTGGTGTCATGATGGGCTATTGTCATCTGCTAGCAATGGGTTTCTAGAATCTTATCAAAATAATTGCAATCAGTGTTAATCTTTAATTAACTGTATTCCCAGAAAGCTTAAGCATTTCATAATCATTATGCCATTCCTTTGTTGTAATTTAATGTGGATCAACTTTTGATTGGCCTACAGTCATTGCTTGCTTCTTTATTTTTGCAGATTCATCAAGTATGGCATGAAGACTTTTGAAGAAGATAACTAAAGGCACCATTCTGAAGGGCATTCCTTAGTTCATGTATCTGACCATTAGATGTGTGAGCTACACTGATCAAAAAGGAAAAAAAAAGATAAAAAGCTGTAACTGTTCTAGTCTCATACTAGGATATTCATTTATTAGTACTGTCTTAATTGTGTGCTTCAGTTCAAGTTTCTGTATGCATTAAGAATTACTCAGATAGCAGTAGTAAAAGCACTGAATGAGTTAGGAGTGCTGACTTTTTTTTAAAAAAAAATTAGAGTGCACCTTGTTTTTACAGTAATTTTATAGTATAAATGAATATATTTCCCCCACATATTAACTATCTGCTGAAGGGAGGAGGAGAAGGGAGAAAAGTAAGGATGTAGCAGCACTACTGATTGTGTGGCAAGAAATGTATGTGATTGTATTATTACTTGCACATTAGATCAACAATGTCCAGCCTCCTGATGCAAATTATAGTTATATAGTTATATTTTTCACCATCATACTTACGAATGTGGCAAATAAATGTATGTACAAGGACTTCTAACTGAGATGCTTGCCATATATTTTCAAATAATGCTCTAAGGAAGCGGTCCCCAATCTTTTGGGGGTCCGTGGATCGACAGTGGCAGTGGGGGGGGATAGAGGATGATTGTGCATGCACAACCTCATGCCCTAATCCCATGCATGCACAAATAAGGCTTTTCACGCTTGCCCGCTGCATGCAGGACCCCTTTCTTCTAATGAAACACAATGACACGATGAGGTTTTCCTGTGATCTCCTTTCCAAATAAAGGCTAAAAGTTCTTAGCATTTTTAAAGATCGGCCCAGGTTGCCGAGGTGCTGTCCAACCCTTTATTTCTCCTTTCTATTGACCCAAGACTCTAATGCAGTGATAGCTAACCTTTTTGCCATTGCGTGCCAGGAGAGGGGGGGCAGGGGATGGTCGCGCGTGCACGTGCCCATGCGCATGCTTGCGCAACCCCCTCCCCCTCCTGGCACATGATGGCCTGGTAGACCCGTTTTTCTTTCTTACCTGGTTCCAGATCCTGTGTTTCTGGGAAGGGCGAAAACAGCCTTTCCCACTCCCTTGGAGGCCTTACGGAGGCTGAAAGGGCCCATTTCCCAACTCTCGGTGGGACAGGAAGTGACATTTTTTGCTATCCCCAGCCTCCAGAATCTCTCTATGAGTCTCTAGGAGCCTCTCTAGGAGTCTCTGGAGGCTGGGGACTGGAAAAAATGTCACTTCCTGTCCCACCGGGAGTCGGGAAATGGGCCCTTTCAGCCTCCGTAGGGCCTCCAAGGGAATGGGAAAGGCTGTTTTCGCCCTTCCCAGATACACAGAGAGGATCTGGAGCCAGGTAAGAAAGAAAAACGGGCCTTCCCCACCCCGCCCCCAGGCCCTCCAGAGGCAAGAAACAGCCTGTTTCCCTACTTCTGGTGGGCCCAGAAGGCCCGAAAATCAACTGGCCGGCATGCGCATGCACCCCAGAGCTGAGCTGGCATGCCCACTAATATGGCTCTGCGTGCCACCTGTGGCACGCGTGCCACAGGTTCACCATCACGGCTCTAATGCATCCGCAAGGATCCACCTACCTTTTAAAGGATGAAATAAACTCAGATTATTTAATTGGTTTTATACCCCAAATTTCTCTTCAGTTCAGAGTGATGCAAGACACAAAGCATTTCTATACTTTCTATACTATACTATAACTGCCAGCAGTTTGGCAGTTCGAATCTCACAAGGCTCAAGGTTGACTCAGCCTTCCATCCTTCTGAGGTGGGTAAAATGAGGACCCAGATGTAAACCACTTAGACAGTGCTGTAAAGCACTGAAGCAGTATATAAGTCTAAGTGCTAAGCCTAAGTGCTATTGCTAAGTGCTATTGCTATAGTCATTCTTTGACCAACCAAAGAACCCCTGAAAGCAGACACCTAAGAAACCCCAGAGAATCCTATAGAAAAAGGCAGCATACCAGCTGCCTCCAAGTATTTGAGTTCAGCGGCTCTTCTGTCTAATTAAGAGAGTACAGGTAGTCCTCAATTTACAACAGTTCATTTAATGACTGTTCAAAGTTACAACGGCCCTGGAAAAAGTGATTTATGACCGTTTTTCACACTTACATCCTTTTGTAGCATCCCCATGATCATGTGATCAACATTCAGATGCTTGACGACCGACTCATACTTATGACCGTTGCTGTGCCCCAAGGTCATGTGATCACCTTTCGCAACCTTTTTGACAAGCAAAATCAATGGGGAAAGCCGGATTCACTTAACAACCATTTTACTAATTTATCAACCGTGGCGATTCACTTAACAACTGCGGCAAGAAAGGTTGTAAAACGGGGGCAAAGCTAACAATAAATGTCTCACTTAACAACAGAAACGTTGGGCTCCATTGTGGTCGTAAGGCGAGGACTACCTGTATAAAGGAAACCACGGGTGGGTGTCGCAATCCCGCCCAGTTGTTGCTTTATACAACACCTTTTCTTTGTGGCTCGGAGAGTCTTCTCCAATCAATCTTGCTGAAAATATAATTGTTTTTTATTATTATTATTAAAGAGTTTTACAGAAAGAAAGAAAAAACAAAAAAAATTTTTTACAAGTATTTCCCCATCCCTCCCTCCCCCCCCCCCTCCCCCCCCCCAACTTCCCAGAACAAAATACAGGGTATACAATTGACAATCATATGCTAAACTAAGCTAATAAACCAAGGATTCCTATCCCTCCCTTCACACTTTAACTCCCCTTTTACTAACTAAGCATCAATACTCTTAATTTTTCTATTCATTCATAAGCTATATGATACTTTTTAGTCCGATATTTGTTTGGAATATAATCAATCCATCTTCTCCATTCCGATTTATATCTTTCTTGTGAGTGATCTTTCAAATATCCCGAAATCTTCGCCATTTCTGCCAAATTCGCTACTTTTGATGTCAGTTCTTCAATAGTAGGCAAATCTTCCTTCTTCCAATATTGCGCCACCAAAAGTAAAATATAATTCTTCATCATATTAAAGCGCTGAGTAATAAAAACTGAAGTGGAAGGTCTACCCATAATCCAATACCATATAGCATTAAGTGAACTAAGTTATCCAAAACCAAGTGGGAAAAAAACCCTAAGGGACTCCCTGTCCCACGCCTGGGGACCAGCAAGGGCCACCCCCACCCCTACCCCCAGCTATCCAGTGGGTGTCCATCTTTGGGTATCCCCTATGCTTTCGCAGAGCAGGTGCGCGTCCTGGAGAAAGCCACGAACGGGGCGAGTGTCGCAATCGCGGGACTCAGAGCCAACGCAGAGGCGCCCTTTGTCCTTCGGCGCAGGCGAAGCTGCGAGAAGCGTGAGGCCGTGGGAAGGCGCGGCGAGCTCTCAGGAACCGGGCCGTGGGGCGAGAGGAACCTGCGGAGCTCCTTCGGTTTATAATTTCACCCTCCGTCCTTGCCTGCCATGGAGTCGATCGGCTGGGTAAGCAAAAAACGAAGCCGCTGTGGTGAGAGAGAAAGAAGCTCCTCTCAGCGATCCTTCTTCCCTCCCGATTCTTCCGCCGAGCGGAGCGCTCCCCTTTCTTTCTTTCTTTCATCGGACGCCCCCGCCCCCGTAGCGAGACGAGTTGGCGAGGCGGATTATGGCGGCATTTGGCGAAGGCAGATTCTGCAGGATCCAATCTGGGTCGGTCACCGGGACCAGAGGTTTTGTCTTCCGAGCTTTCGGATTCCGAAAGCTCGGAAGACAAAACCTCTGGTCTCGGTGACCGACCCAGATTGGATCCGGCCACATTATCCCGGGACAGGTATATTCGCCTTAGATTCGTAAAAAGGCAGATTTTGGAGAAGTTTCCTGACAGATGCGGCGTCACAGCGTCGGAGGGCTTCTCTCTCTCCTCATTAGATAAAGCAGCCCGGATATTTTAAATCTGGATTGGAACAACAGATAGAAGTTTTGACTTCAAGGCCTAACCAAATAAATTATATATTTCACGGTGGGGCGTGGGTGGGTGGGGGTGGAGATATGGTTACCAACATTAACACCTCCCTTTGTTGTAATTTATTCCTTTAAACATCTTTGGCTGGTCTGAAGTAATAATGCAGATTTATTATTTTTTTTTTCCAGCTTGGACACAAACATAAAAAGTTGGCACATAAAGTGAAAAAAAGTACAACCCTCCGTTCCACCTCTGAAAAGCTGTAACCTGAACTAACCTGTTTATCATAGTTGTGCATATGGGCATTAAGACAAGTTTCACATTTCTTAAGTGGAAAAGTGATAAATGGGGGTTCGAGAAATGCTTTTTCATTTATCCGGAGTCACTTATACAGGTAGCCCTCAATTTATGACCACAATTTATGTTGTTAAGTGAGAAACGTGTTAAGGGAATTCTCTGGCTCCATAAGTCTTTTTGGTGGGCACATTTGGGATTTTGAGACAAGTCCTCCAACATCAATGTGTCAGATGAACAAAAGCCTGATCAGCAGCCAGACACAATTTCATTTTCTAAGAAGGATTCTGGGTGCATTCAGGCATCATGGAAATTCAGGTAGTCCTCGACTTACAAACGGTTCATTTAGTAACTGTCCAAAGTTACAAGGGTGCTGAAAAGTGACTTATGACTGTTTTTTCATGCAGCATCCCCATGGTCACATGATCAAAAATCAGACTGGTTCTTAGGTATGATGGTTGCAATGTCCTAGGGTCATGTGATCAACTTTTGCGGCCGTCTGACAAGCAAAGTCAATGGGGGAAAGCCAGATTCACTTAACAACCGAGTTATTAATTTAACAACTGCAGTGATTGTGGTAAGAACGGTTGTAAAATATGAGAAAATTCACTTAACAGATGTTTCACTTAGCAACATCAGTTTGGGGCTTAATTGTGGTCGTAACTCGAGAGCTACTTGTACTGCTATAGTCTTGAAACTGCTGCTTTGCTTTACAGCAGAATAGCTTCCCTTTATTTATTTATTTCTAAAAAATAAACAAATCTTTAAAAGGTGAAAAGGGTTAGGGAACTCTGCAGCAGTGGTGGGTTGCCCCCGGTTCGCACTGGTTCTATAGAACCACTGGTCTGCAGGTGAGAAATTCTGGATTATAACATTGTCTCTGGATGCCACATAGAGAATAGAGGTCTGCTCAATAGATTTAGAGCTGATCAATTCCATGATAAGCTGGTTGAGAAGGAGTTCACCTTTGCTGTGGAGACTTAAAGCTGTAACACATAAAACCAAGTTTTCATTCTCTTTGCGTACCTGTGCTCTTTTTTCATCTTTCAGGATATTTCTGTTTTGATTGCCGTGGCTGCAATTGTACCATCTATGCTATTTTTGCTGTATAAAATAATTGGATCTCAGAGGAAGAAAGATCCATTGACTTTGCAGGATCCAAATATCAAATATCCATTGTCTTTGATAGAGAAAGAGGTGAGTTGTCAGTTCTTTTTTTTTTTTGCTTCAATGTATGAAAACGCCATATAAAACTCTTTGACAGCAATGTGCCAGGTTGGATATCTGTATTTTAAATGAGAGATTGCAGGGGTTTGGACTTGAGCCTTTGGCATAGAAACTGTGTCTCTTCAGAAACATTAAGATTTGAGCGTGTGATATCAGCCTACATCGATTTCCCCATGTTTGGAAGGCCATAAATGTGCCAAGTTATTTGGCAATTCTGCCCTTGGGATATTGCATAATGTTCAGTAACTGTAGCTGAAGCAGCAACAGAGTAGATACCACTTGAAATTCTAATCTGGTCCAGCATGTACAAGATTTTCCCAACCCACAACTGGCTACATTGTGTATCCAATTCTGTGGGATCTAATAGAGGCATAAAAAAAATTGCTACCAACTTGCCTTCCATTGAGGACCTGTATACTGCACGAATCAAAAAGAGGGCTGTGAAAATATTTACAGACCCCTCACATCCTGGACATAAACTGTTTCAACTCCTACCCGCAAAATGAGGCTATAGAGCACTGCACACCAGAACAACTAGACATAAGAACAGTTTTTTCCTGAACGCCATCACTCTGCTAAACAAATAATTCCCTCAACACTGTCAAACTATTTACTAAGTCTGCATTACTATTAATCTTCTCATTGTTCCCATCACCCATCTCCTTCCACTTATGACTATATGACTGTAACTTTGTTGCTCGTATCCTTACGATTTATATTGACTGTTTCCTAATATGATTTGATTGCTTATTTGTACTCTATGACTACAACATTAAGTGTTGTATCTTATGATTCTTGATGAACGTATCTTTTCTTTTATGTACACTGAGAGCATATGCACCAAGACAAATTCCTTGTGTGTCCAATCACACTTGGCCAATAAAAAATTCTATTCTATTCTATTCTAAAAGAAAAAGAATTATTCCAAGGAATTAAAACTTAAATGATTATGGGAGGGGGCACATTGCATAAAGTATGCTACCTGGTGGGTTTCATTCATGCCCATGGAAAGGTCAGAAATATTAAAACTGAATTGAAACTGAACATTTTATATGGAATATATTAGGTGACATTATTCAGTGTACTCAGCTTCATATTTCTGGTGTGGCAACCAGTTGTGTTTCTCGTTGACTGGTGACCACATCATCCAAACTGGGACACTTTGAGAGAGATGGGAGGGACACTAAAAAATAATAGACACATAATTACATAAACTTTTTGAATGTCTTTATTTTTCCTGTGTTTCCCACTGACCTCACTGTCTATTCTTTTAGCACCTCTGGCAGTTCCAGCTGTGATTCTTAATTGATGGGCAAAGTAGCTGATTCAGGAAGAGTAGAATGAGAAGACACACAAACCGATGTGTTGAGGGAAAAGCAAAGGCAGTGCCAGGCACCCTTTCTCCATATTATCTCCTTTATGAGGCTCCAGACAGCTGCTGTCTTCTTCCCTGCTGCACAGCTTGTGTGGCTCAGACTTCACTTTTACCCCCACAATGCCACCTTATGCTGCATCAGTTTGTCTCTCACAGGGTTGCAGTATTAGCTACCTCTGTGAGGGAGGAGGGAAGTGCTATTCATTATGGGAGAGGAGCCAGCAATGCTGGGAAGAAAACTGTGGGGAAAGGGTGCCTGGAGCTTGGAAATCTAGGACTAATGAGAAATCAGGATGCATGATCACCCTGCTGAGATCCTGGCTGCCAGGCATGGCCAGATGCATAGAGTGGGATGGGAGGAGAAGCCGAGGCAGTATTGCCTCATGGGTGAGTTGTTATAGGCCATATCAAAAAACTCCCAATGGGACAGATATAGCCACAAGGTGAATGTTTGAGATTTCCAAATGAACCAATAGCCCAAGAGATCTTGCATGTTCTCTGCCTTGTTGTGGCTAGGTCCCTTTTGGTATCCTCAGTTCCCCCTTATCCTTTATGGTGTCCCTTTTCTTTCTCATCTGTATATTTTAGCACATGGAAAGTGAGGCCTGTCATGATGAAAAGATCTTAAATCATTTTTGTGATGCTTTACTGCTCAATGTGTTTCACCTGATTGCTTTTCCCCAGGATATCAGCCATGATACCAGGAGATTCCGATTTGCGCTACCATCGCCAAAACATATATTGGGTTTGCCTATAGGTAAGCATAGCCTTATTCTTCATCAATTCCTGGTGCAGAGTTCTTGTGTTGGTGCCTTCCCCCTGCAAAAAAAAAATATCTGAAAAGCCCTTCTAGTGAAACTTGTTTGATACTGAAACTGCTTTTTCCAGTGCTACACAAAAACTTTTATTAGTTCCTTGAATCATAAGTGATTTTAATGTTGAGAGAATAATTGTTAGAATAAATGCTACAATATGTAATTATACATCATATAATATGTAAGGAGAGATAATCTGCTTTTCAACAGCATTGGTCACCATTGTAGGCTAAGCTAGTAGTAGAACAAATTAATAATGTTCAGTTGAGGCAAAGGACTGAAAATTAATTCACAATATCTTATGAAGTCAGTTTATATCAAATTGAGCAGCAAAGTGGCTCCCTGTGTATCTCTCTGCGTAGTTTGGTCAGTTTAGGGCAGATGGTTAAATGTGTAGAATGAAGATGGTGATCATGTTCAGATGAACAGTCCTTTCTCATGGTGGACCAGTCCACTTACTGTTTCATTCAAAACTCCCTTCGCCGGATGGTGAAGGTCTAAGACATGCTTGGGCTAGGATTCAGTCACATTGTAGGGGAAGCCTTTAGCGATTCTCAGTCATCCAGGTCATGGTTGTCTCAAAGGTGCTTTTTCAGGAGGCAACTGGACTTTTTTCTTTTGAAGACATTTCACTTCTCATCCAAGAAGCTTCTTCAGCTCTGACTTCAGCTCTTATTTCCCACCTTCCAGTCAGAAGGTGGGAAAAAGCACCTTTGGGACATTGTAGGGAAAGTAGTCAAATTGCAGCCATGGGCAGACTTTCCTGGGTAAATCCAATGGACAAGAGTTGGCTTTACTTTTAACTAATTGTGTTGCAGAATAGCTTATCTAGCAATTCTGGGAAATATGGGCTGAAAACCATCCAGCTGTGTATACATGCTCACAAGGTTTCTTTTCCTATGGTTCTGTTATCTACATTCAGTATCTTGCCCTGTCTTTCTTACAGGAAAATATAGGGTGGCCGGATTTCTGTCCATTCTCTGATAGATGATTTGCTTAACTAAAGTTTCACACAGTCTGACTTGCCTTATTAATAAATTCTCTTATTGTAGGTGTTTATATACTGTCCTTGAATATATGATAATAAGGACTGCAAAATAAAATCAGAAAGTAAAGCACAGATGCAATAGAAGTGAAACTATACCAGAAAAGTGGCATATATTTAAAACTCCTCTCTCACTGAAAGTCAGGGAGAGTAAAAGATTTCAGCTTTAAAGTAGGGGTCAGACATAGTTTTCCAAGCCAGGCGTGACTCATGGATGATGAAGACATAGATGACAAGGATTTATTCGTGCTCATTTCTTTGACTGTGTCTGACTTCAAGGATAAAAGCTGGAATATTGAGCCCAAAACAGGTTAAGAACCTAGGCAGATGTTTTAGCATCTAGGATTAAAAATCCTAGCATTGTATTGCTTTTAGCCATCTTGCAGTAGTAGGTTTTCTAACGTCATCAAGGTATTTAGGATGGCAAACCAAAATATAAAGGATGGGGAAGGCATAAGGTTGTCTTTCTTTTGTTTTCCTTGGTCCAGTCTAGAAGGACTTTAAGGCATAGACTCATGGTTAGCTTTTGGAAAAGGCAGAAAGAGCTCAAAATAGGTCTAGGTTTAACTGCTTGATTGTAGTTACATCTGTATTTTATTTCAGCAGCCGTGTTGTATGATGAGATCTTTTAACATAACCTGTATCTGCCAAACCAATGTCTTAGAACATTAAACTTGCTGGTGTCAAACTTGCTGCGTCATGTTGCCATCACATGACATTTCGTGACACTTTCCCCATTTGCAGAGCTGGGTTGGGCATGGCCTGCATGTGATGCATCTGGCCCGCGGGCCACCAGTGTGACACCCCTGTCTTAGAAGAAGAGTTTGAGTTAGGGGAGAGAAGGATTAATTCTGTGTTAATGTGTTAATCTCACTATAGTTCTAATACCATTTACATTGCCATAGTTAATTAACACATGCTTGTAACTGCAGTCATGCAGTTAATGTCATGTTTTGTTTGGTAGCCTTTTTCACACACTTGAATGGTAACACTCCATAGCTCTGCAAGATCTTCAGTTCATGGGGATTTGTATATTTCTAAATACTATTTTCTTATCAGCTAGTGGCAACTTACTTCTCCCCCATTCACCCAACATTTTCATGCTTATCTTTGCAACTATAGGAGGTTTCCCATTCTTAATTAAATATATAACTGACATTTCTCTCGGGGAATGAGAAGAATTGTTCTCCCAACCAATTTTGCAGATGTTATCCAGTTTGGAAAAGTACCCTACATCGTTTGCTTTCTTCTTTAATGCCATAATAATAAATTTGGAATGGAACCATAATTATTTTTCTCCAGGCCAACATGTATACCTCTCTGCCAAAGTCGGCGGTAATCTTGTGATTCGGGCTTATACTCCAGTTTCTAGTGATGAAGTGAAAGGATATGTTGATTTAGTAATAAAGGTAGGTTTAAACTGTTTTGACCAAGTAACTTAATCTTAGTTTTGGTTGCTATGTTTCTCAAATCAATTGTTCCCTAATACTCCAGTTATATAATAAATCAAATTATAAACAAACAATACAGCACATTTTATATCCAGAAATTATCTTTGAAGATATGGTTGGAATAGTGTGCACAGTTATTTTAGAGATAAAGCACCGAGCCTGAGAAGGACAATGAGTAAATGATGAAAAATCTATTTCTCTATAGTTTATTTAATTTTGTTAATTTTCTCAGCTAATGCAATGTAAAATAGGTGCTGGAATTCTCAAAAGTCTGGGGAGTTCTGATTGGAATCTCTTGTCTGTGTTAAAAGTAAAAAGAGATACTGAATCTTGACAGACCAAGGTATAATTTGACAGAAATTAAATTTAAAAAAAAAATTTTTTTTTAAAGCAAGTATTTTATATCTAATTTGAGATTAAGGCCCAGAGTGAATAGTTCTTCTTGACCATATTCTGTTTGTCCTGCCTGTAGGTATAATGAAGGAAAAATACCACCCAGTCCCAGAGCTTAGTAAGCAATGTTTTCAAAATTACTCTGAAGTAATATTGATCATGTTTGGGGTTTATTCATTTTTATTTACCATATTAATGTTGCTACCTTGAGGCACATATTCTCTGAGATCTCACAAAACAAATTAGCATTAAAACAAAGCCACTACAGTATAAAACAGTTATACTTAAGACCAGTTATAAACAATGGTTCTTAGGCTAGCGTACATGCTCTTCAAAAGATTAGTTAAAAAGTGCTTTCCCTGCTGTGAAAAGATCATTAATATGCCTTCAAGTGAATTTCTCTGGGGAAACTCTACGACTGAAAAGGCCTTCTCTTTAGAGCTTTCCCCTGTTTTGCTATATGTAGTGAGGACACTACAGAGAAGGATTTCTAAAGACCCAGCGTATAGTTTGGCTAGGATAAGTCTATAGAGAAATCAACTTGCTCCCAATTTTGGGGTCTAAAACAAGTACATAAATAGGGCCTATAAATAGCTGGTAAAATTCATAATTGGCCAAAAATAACAGTCTAGGTTAATACACCTAGCCTGGCTAGGTGGCTCAGTGGCTAAGACACTGAGCTTGTCGATCAGAAAGATCGGCAGCTCGGTGATTCAAATCCCTAGTATAGGTCTCCTGCGTGTCCTAGATGACCTCCAAGGCCCCTTCCAACTCTGTTACTGTTATCCCTGTTACTCTTGTGACCTTATTGAGGATAAAATTATTTGCCCTCAGCACTGCAGTAGATTTGTTTTATAGAGCGTAAACAGGAGAAATGTGGCTTTTTCCGGCTTCTAATTCATGATTTATGTAACAGTACAAAAGAGAATTATCTTTTCCAATGCAGACCAAGGTCACCTACTGTAAATGTAAAACATTGTAATGATTGCATGCGTCTATGTATTCGTTCTAGGTTTACCACAAAAATGTTCATCCCAAATTTCCTGAAGGTGGGAAGATGTCCCAGTACTTAGAAGGCATGAAGACTGGTGACACCATTGATTTCAGAGGACCTAATGGGCTTCTGGTGTACAAAGGATCTGGTACTATTTCATTGTCAAGTCCCAAGAAGTTTATAATTACGAATAGGGGTGATCAGTTGCTTTTAAATAGATAAAAGCAGTAGGCAGATGAGAGATATTATTTCTCTAATTTTGAAACTACCCATCTCCCTACAGAGAGACTCTGGGCGGATAATATAGCATGTCACAAGCTGAACAATGTTCAATGTTAATTTGTTTCTGTGTGTTTCATAGCCATTTGAGCTACAATAATCCCCAGGGGAATTTGGAATGCATCTTGGATATTTTATAGATAGCATCTCCAACTTTAGCATACTATCTTTCCTCCTGCCTCCAGCTGTTAATGAATATCACATTATTCATGTGGTTGAATGTGATTCATCAAATAGGGCATCCAACAAATACCACATTATATATCAACAAATACCACATCATATCTATTGTTTTTACAAATAACTCAAAGTGGCAAACATATCCAACACAGCTTCCTCAACAATGACCTGTGAGGTGGGCTGGGCCGAGACAAAGTGACTAGCCCAAAGTCACCCAGCTGTCTTTTGTGGCTAAAGTGGGACTTGAACTCTTGGTCTCTTGCTTTCTAGCCTGGTGCCTTAACTATAATTAGACCAAACTGCTTCTCTTATTTATAATAAACAGAATTTCCTTTCTATTACACAAAACATAGTTTGGTAATAACTCCTGAAAGTCTCTAGTTGAGCTATCAGATCTGAGCTGCACAAATGTAACCAACCATTAGATGGTAGCAGATACGTACAGAATACTAGGAAATATTTACAGAACATTATAACTCTGTTATAATGGTAGCAAATGCTTATAGAACATTATAACTGTGTGTCACCATCTAAAGGAGGTTCATATTGCAGCTCAGATTTAGTAGCATTGTTTCAAAGGTCACAAGAAAGCTTCCGGGAGCTGTAAACTGCTCTGGAGACTCAGATTGTACACTTGTGAATTAATATTTAGTTTTATATGAGCTCAAGCAACTGTGGCTTATTTAGCGAGCTGGTTCCAAATATATACTTAGATTAAGTCTGTTTATGAGAGGGAAGGGCTTTAGCATTGTACAGGTTTTCACTCATAGAAATGGATATAATATTGCAGATTGAATATACAGTAGTGTAGTGTAGTGTAATATAATATACAGTAGTGTACAGCTGTAATTCAGAGCTTTGCAGTGATTCAATTTTGTGGAATTGACGCTTGTAATTTTACACAGGTAAATTTGCTATCAAATTGGATAAAAAGTCTGAAGCAAAAATAAAGTTTGTTAAGCACCTTGGGATGATTGCTGGGGGAACAGGTAGGTATTCCTTGTTTCTGGAATAAGGGGGTTTGGATAATTTTTTTTAAAAAAGCTATATACTTCCTGATTATAACATATGCTCTAAAACAGGGGTCTCCAACCTTGGCAACTTTAACCCTGGCGGACTTCAACTCCCAGAATTCCCCAGCCAGCAAAGCTGGGAGTTGAAATCCTCCAGGCTTAAAGTTGCCAAGGTTGGAGACCCCTGCTCTAAAAGGAACCTTGGCTAAGTAATATTTATTACTCTCTCTATTACAAAAGAGTAAGCACAGAAGACTTGACCAAGGCTTAGTATGGAACAGAAGATACGTCATATCTCATGCACAACTTAATTTACTTCTAAAAATGTTTGAGTACTTCACCTTGACTAGAATATTGTTTAATAAGCTATCTCTGTACCCAGTTTGAAGTGCTGATTATGACATGAAATCCTAGTCAATTTGACACTTTGGCTATTGAAAAGCCACATTTTTTAATTATGAGCCTAGACATTATTTGAGATCTTTAAGATTACTTTTCTTTTCTACAGATCCTTTTTTATAGTTAAACACAATTTAATATTCTGTCACTAGCCATGAACCTGTGGCTCAGAAGCTGAATGTAAAATTAAATAGTGTGAGACTAAAATCATTTAATATAAAAGGAGAAAAAAAAAGATATCCTCTTAGAGAAAGAATTAAATAATATTCTTGAATCTCGGGAATGACTGTTTCATCTATCATTTCTTTTTCTCTCTTTTCCTATCTTAGAAATTTTGGAGAATTATATTACCTTCACTGAGTATTAAAAAAACCCACACATTTGTTCTATTTTTTATGCCTTTCACGTTCACACAAATGCCCACCTAATTTTATAGTTGACAATGATGGGGGTAATAACAAAATGTTATAGTTCTACTTCTGGGTTATGGAAAAAAATATTACTTAATTCTGAAACTTGGCTTTGATTTGATAGGAATTACTCCAATGCTTCAGCTGATCCGCCATATCACAAGGGACCCGACTGATAAAACAAAATGTTATCTCCTTTTTGCTAATCAGGTTGGTTGACTTACATTTATTTGCCTTTCCTTTTTTGTGAAATCATTATAAAAGCAGCTAGGCCATCAGCAGTTACTTATACATCTACACTATCTTCCCAACTATGTATCAAAAAGTTTGTTCATGGCTCTTCCTTTGGTGAAAATTAAACATTTTTTTCTGATTCCCATAGAAAGCTGGATGCTATTGATTGCAGACAGAGGTGGAATGGGAGGATGGTAAGGTAGCCAGGGAGAATTATAGTTCGAGTAGCCTCTTTACCTTCTTATATGCCTCCAGTGCAAAACGAATATATGCCAAGTCGAATGCCGGCAGATTTATTCTGCCTGCTCCCCAGGTGTTCATTGGAAAGGGATTATGCTTAGCACATTATTATTATTAAGCCCAAGCATATTTAATTAATAGAACCAGCATAAGATGTTGTGCCAGATGTTTTAGGAAATTTCTGGTGGTATTGGTAGTTTTCTGATTCCACAGAATTGCTAACATCTAATTCTAACCAATTGCCCATAACATAAGCCACTCCACCTGAGAGTAACTCACTTCTAGGAAAGGTTGATTAGATTGCAGTATTGCCTTCCAAGGCAAAGAGAATTGATGAATACAGGAAAGCTACAATATATAAAATAAGAATCAAAAGGTAAGCTAATGCTAACAATGGGCTCTGCATCAACCTGCATGTTCAACTCTGAATGGCTATTTAACTTTTGGTTGGCAGACGGAACAGGATATATTACTGAGACCAGAGCTGGAAGACGTAGCTGCAAACCACCCAGACCAATTTAAATTGTGGTATACTTTGGACAAACCGCCTCAGGGTAAGCTGATGTTGCTCAAAGGCTAAATGAACTCTTCTGTATACAACCAATTTTAAGATAACATGTATATCTCTATTGCAGTCATGTGAGACATTTGTCTTGCGATGTACCACTTTTACCAAACTATTTTTTTCACATATTGCCTTTCCTGACTGATATTACCATTATTCCAAGCACCTTTCCATTGTGATATCAGATATTAAGCCTTTATAGAAAATGACTTGAGAAGTATATAGTTACTGTGCTGTATTTCTAAGTAATGGATTCACCCATCAATTAATGATACACACGGGAAAGTGAAGAGTAGCATGAAAATTTATAATGTAGTCTTTCCAACAGTAACTAAGCAATTATGTTTGTACACGTTAGTAACAAATGTATTAGATTTTTATCCCACTTTTATTACTTCATATGTAACTCAAGGTGATGAATATACATAATAGTCCTTGCTCCTCCTATTTTCCCCACAAAACAACAACCCTGTGAGGCAGGTTGAGCTGAGAGAGTGGCCCAAAGTCAGCCAGCTGGCTTTCATGCCTAAGGACTAGAACTTGAAAACTCCTGGTTACTAGCCTGGAGTCTTAACCATTGGACTAAACTGATCATGGCTACGGTTATGATTCTATCTTTGAAAGTATATTAATGTTGCTATGAAGCAGAGGTGTACAATCATGGCCATGTGTATTTCTCCAGGATATCTCCAAACATTGCTGCCAAATTATCAATATGGTCTGAGGAAATTATAAATATAAAGAGAATAATCATATACTGTGAAATATAACATTCAAATTAAATGAAACCAAGCTTAGTTTTCTTTGAAATGGAGGAACCACAAAAACACCATGAATGCGTACAGTACTACCTTTTGTTAGACATTGTCATGAAGCTTCTCTTTCATTTTTGTTGCAGGATGGAAGTATAGTTCTGGCTTTGTTACTGCAAACATGATAAAGGACCATCTTCCTCCCCCCTCTGGAGACACTTTGATTCTTATGTGTGGACCTCCACCCATGATTCAGTTTGCCTGTCAGCCCAGTCTTGAGCTTCTGGGATATGCAAAAGAGAACACATTTGCTTACTGAACTTGAAGTTAATTCGTTTAGCCAATGTCACAGGTACTAAGGTGATGCAAAACATTTGAAGGTGCACGTTACAAAGTGGTTGATGTAAGCAAAGTGTTCCTCCTTGAAGGATTAAACCAACTATGATCTCTAGGAGCTACCTTGAAATTTTTCCCCAAATGTGTGCATGTAGTTTGTGCACAACTGCTTTGATTGGCCAGCAATCCCAAAGAAAGTGTTGTCTGTGCAAGAATATTGTGATGGGATGCACACCTGGAGGAGCAGTGGGGGAAGACGTGTGGTAACACAGAGTTTTTCCAGAGAGAGGCCTAGATTAAGAGCCTGCACCAGTCCCAAGGTGGGTGTCAGAGGCAGGAATGGATTCAGGGTAGTCACAGTCTACAATCTCTCAGGATGTACTGTATCTAGTAGATTAGATTATAATTTTAGTCTGGCAAGATTTTGTCTATTAACTGTAAGCAAATAAAGGAACGATTGGATGCTGCTCTATCATCTCTAAACTTAGGCCTGACAAATACACATTCCAGAGAGGAAAGATTTCAGAAGACCTGTGCCGATCCTTCAAAAGAGGACTCTTTTATTACACTAATGCACTTGGCAAAGTACCCCTTTCTAATGCCTTGCCCAGCCTTAATAAAGTTTTTATGAAGCGTTTGTTTCACTTAAATAAAATGTTGATACATTTTGTGGGTTTTGAATTTCCATGAGTTTCTTATGGCGATTATTATTATTGTATAAAGCATGAACTGCTTTTGAAGCAAAGATGGTTAGGAATTAGTTGCAGTAGGTCATTTTTTGGAGCCATTGGAGCTTCTTCTATCCATGGTTCCTGAAGCTGACTTCAGTTTTGCATCAACATGAAGTAGGAAATGTAAAAACGATGACATGTAGTTTTTAAAATGTATAATTAAAAAGATTTACTTCAAGTATGACCAAAAAAATATATATATCCAATCGAGGTTTCGTTGGGCTTAAATGGCTAATTTAAATCCAGATTTCCCTCCCAAAATGTTGACTCCAGCTGAACTTGATGAAGCCATCAGCACACCAAGACATTCCTAGAGAGAAAACATGCTCCTCTTCTTCCTTAGTGGGACAAAATCGCATTGATGAAATTCTTTTATTGGGCAGTCTCTCACTGATGAGAAGCAGGGATGCATTTAGCTTGATGTTTCTTATAGGAACGAATGGTGGTCATGTAAAAAGAGTCATATAACCTTCCATCTATGTTGGCTGGAACCAAAAGGTTTGCCTTCTGAATCATGCAGGTGCTTGCATGTGCAATATTTAGAACAACCATGCAACTATAGCGCAATTTCCGATCATAAACTTCACACCAAGCTACTTGTGGGAAACGTTCTTCATACAAACCAACTTAATAGCTGTAAATACAACTAAGATTGACATCACCTAATCATTTGTGATATGATTTCGAACATAATATTTTCCACATAAAACTTTAATAATATTTAGATAATAATAAGGACAATTATTTAAATATTTTAAAACTATTCTCATGCGGAACCTTATACCTCATTTGGATTCAAAATACTCATTCTGCAGGAGAGAAATCAAAATTCTGCCATTACTGCTATAAGATACTGTGATCCAATATATTTTACCTTGTAGACCAAATACGCTTCAACTCCTGGTAACACCCGTATACATGCTTTAATGCAATTATTTTTTTAAAAAAATGTACAATAAAGCTTGAGATTAGAACATGCAATATTTTAGATCCAGAATTTATACCTTTACATCAAATAAAAGTATGTTCAAAATGATCGTAGGTCTGAAAGGGACAGCTTCTGGATGAATATTGAGCCACATCTACAAGTGATTATAATATTCAAAGCCTTGTTATTTAACTGAAAACTGGCTGGTGTCGCAGTATAAATTTGTTGCTATCTTCGGGTTAATATTTTTGCAGGAAGAAAAAGGCTGTGCTTATATTAGTAACAACTTATATTGGGAATGTATTTGGCAAACAAGGAATTTTGTCACCAGTAGGTGGCAAACTTGTATAAAGATAGTTAGATGAACAAGGTTGCATTAGAATTGTTACAAGCCTTTTAATTTAAACTATAGATTGCTGAAAGCCTTTTAGGACAGATTGGCAAATATTTCTGCAAAAAAAAAAAAAAAAGATATTCAGAGAGTGGCCAATTACCCCACCCCCCAAATCAGTTCTGAAAGAGAATAGTGTTGAGGTGTGCCCATTTATCTCATTTCAAAAGGAAACTGAAACAGACAACAGAACAATTCTGTTAGAGATAAGAAAGAATACCATGTCAGATTCTAATTAGTAACAGTATTCCCCTTATTTGGAAAGCTGTTTACACACACTGCTGAAATATTACTAATATTTCTACCTGAATTTAAATGGTAAACTTGGATACTCCAAATCAGAGATTTTGGTGGTTTAGATGTAATTATAAATTCACCCTAAATTGTCATATATTTTTTACAAAATCTTGGTATCTAGCTATGGATTTTGAAGGTGTTTTTAGTATTGAAAACTGGTAAGTTTGAAGAGGTTGGTTCTTTTCTGACAAAACATTTTTCTCTCAATTACTATAATTTAAGGAAATATTACAATTTAATAGTTGGGAAATGACTTGAAGAATTTTCTGCACTGAAAAATAAGTGGGATGACAGAGAAAGAAGTCCAACTGTGGGCATTTGCTTGGTCCCTTCATTGTTTCTCATGCTTCCAATTCAATCTATAGAATGTTTCAAAGAATTTTTAGCTGATTAGGACAAATAAACTGATCTGCAAGGCAATTGTGTATAAAGCAGTGATGAGCTTTCTGGCTGTATGGCTATGGTCTAGGATTGGGGTTTCCAACCTTGGCAACATTTAATACTTATGGACTTTAATTTCCAGAATTCCCCAGCCAGCCATACTGCCAGAACAGTTATCACTGCTTCATTGATGCCAGCTGTGAAAGCCTATGCCAACATGCTGTTGTGTATTTCCTTTGATTTTGTAAGTCAAACGAAATGTAGAATTTATTACAATGTATTTTTGATGTTGCATGAATTAATACACCCATTTAAACCCTTGAACAAAGCACAATCACCTCTGACTTTCCCACAGTTTCTATCACACTACAACAATGAAATGTTATATAAACAAATAGCTAATGGAAGTTTTTTTGTTAACCTGTCACCGCTTAACCCGGATAATAAGGCTACTTGTTGTAGATTGTGTGTATAGTTCAAAATTAGCAAGATGGAAGACAAGAATGATTACAAAGAGGATAGGAATGATTTCTTCATCAAATATTGGGAGCTTCTAGTACTCAGTAGTTGATACTCATAGCAACTAGTCAAAGTCCTGAAGAAAACAGTGAGCGTGTAAATTGGTGGTAGCACTGGGTTAATATTGTCCAACTTTGAAAATCAAACAGGACCAGACCTGGTTAATTCTTGGATAGGAGAACACCAGGGAATACCGAGATTGTAGACTAGGTTTCTACATTAAAAAAAATGAAAAAGCAATGGCAAAAGATTTCTATACTGTTTCAAAGACAGCTGCATGGATGTGCCTATGGAGTCATCAGGTCCTCTTGATCATGGTATCTTTTGAACCAGTGAACACATTTTAATACATAAAGGAATCACATTTTCAGTTAGATTCAATATAAATCATTGCACAAACTACACTGACAATAAATAGCTACAGCTTTGAAGTCTATTGCAGTTCCATTGCACCATAACCAAATCTTAAAATTACAAAATATAGAAAAAGGGATCACTGTTAAATATGTTCATAGTGATTAAAATAAGTGATCAACAGATCTTTGATTTCCAAATTTCTAGAAAAATTGCATAGTTCTTTAAATGCATGTCTTAATTACCTAGACCAGAGAGTTTATCTGTGTATGTGTGTACATTTTTAAAAAGCACATTGACCTTTCACATATTTTAATAGCAAAGAAAATGATGCATTTTTAGGTATAGCATTCAGCCTGCATCAGTTTTCTGTCATAATAGGAAAGGACTGAAGTGTTATTCCTGTGGCATCTTCATCTCCAGTCCTCAAAAGTTGATGTTAAAAATTGATCGTTGTTTAGCATCTGATCTTGGCTTAGCATTGTCTGGAAATAAAAAAAAAAATCAAGCTACATCTACAGTCAGATACACTAGAAAATGAGAAATAGTAATAGCACTTAGACTTATATACCGCTTCACAGTGCTTTACAGCCCTCTCTAAACAGTCTAGTCATCATATTGCCCCCAACAACTTGGGTCCTCATTTTACTCACCTCGGAAGGATGGAAGGCTGAGTCAACCTTGAGCCTCATGAGCAGGGCCGGATTTTCCTATAGGCTAACTAGGCTTCAGCCTAGGGCCTCAAGATCAAGAGGGGCCTCAAGATCAAGAGGGGCCTACATTCAAATTGTTAGCAAAATTAAAATTACACTTTCACTATAGGTGAAAGGGCCTCATAAGTGGAATAGCCTAGGGCCTCTTTTCATCTAAATCCGGCCCTGCTCATGAGATTTGAATTCCCAAATTGCAGTTAGCCGGCAGTCAACAGTAGCCTGCAGTACTGTACTCTAACCACTGCGCCACCATGGCTCATCTTGAAATGTTTTTATGATAATTTATGAAACAATTTATCCAAAACCCTTTTCCCAATCAGAAGCCTAGGCTTCTTCATTCCGCCCTTAAAGGATCCAAAACTTTGAAATTGTTTTCTTTCATTGACCTCAGTGGGAAGAAAGAAAATATACCAGGGGAGCTTGATAGATCTAAAAAATCGCTCTCTTTCATGGGGATGACAGCTAATATTATAGAAATAATCTTGGCTGATTAACAACCAGCCATAACAACATTTCCAGATAGCCCTCTTGAATTCATACATACCGTGAGGTTGCTTATTCCTCGAGACAGCTCCCCTATTTGCATCACTGCTCCTTCTGAATGGTCCATCTGCAAAATCATTTCGGCAACTAGATTGAAATTAAAGCAGCCATCCAATCTTAGTCAAACCTGCATGCACAACTTTTGGGATAGCAGAACTGTTCCACACATATGACACATGTCTTTGTCTTCAGGAAGTTGAGGCTGACTTACACAGTTCCCTCCACTCCCAATATTGGAAATATTTCCAAGTTGCACATTTTGGGACCAAATATGAAAAGGCAATTCATTGCAACTACTTCTTTTTTTTTAAGTGGTATGTTTGATACTATATTTTTAATAAAAAGAATGCAAGAGCTGTTTTCAGTAATTCAAAAAGCATTTTTTGATCTCATGCAGATTCAAATGCTTATCATGCTATTTTAATAATTTAGACATTCATGTTCATTGTTTAACACATAAGACATCAATTAATATGCTCAATGCTTCATTATTCTAAAATGTAATTGTTTTTCATCTGGCTCCATCATTTAGTCATGGCAGTTATCACTGTGTAATACAGAAAATAGGAATATGTCCACTCTTCTTTCCCCTTTCTATCCCCACTCAATGCCCCCATTGTAGGGCCTGAATTTCTGTATTCAGAGATATTTGTGGTGATGGTAGTTTGTTTCTAAATGATTAGGCTGCCTGGGAAATTAGGTGCCTAAATATTTATAACTAATTCTTGTGATCTGTGTTGGGTACTGTTTTTCCACTTTCCCTTCCCCTTGCAAATTTTAGAAATTGACATTGATCAACTAGCCTTTAGATGTGTGCCTGTTTCCAAAATTGGATTTCTGATAATCTACTTATTCCAGATAGCCAGGGTTTTATTTTGGGTTAGATACCTTTTTGTAACCCAGGGGTGTCAAACTCAAGGCCTGGGGCTTGGATGTGGCCTGCGGGGTGCTTAGATCTGGCTCATAGGGCCTCCCTGGAAACAGCAAAGGACTGGCCCATGGTGCTTCTGCCAGCAAAAATGGAGCTCGGGAGAGCCGTGGACGGCCCTCCCGAGGTGGCAGAGGGTTGTAGGAGGCCGTCACAGCCAAAATGGAGCACAGGAGCCCATTTTCATTGTCAGAGCACTTGGAACACCACAGGCACCCCTGACATGAGTGTCATCGAGCTGGCCATGCCTCCCCCCAAGGTCAAACACAACGCTGATGCGGCCCTCAATGAAATTGAGTTTGACACCCCTGGTCTAACCTTACAGTATTCTATACAAATCAGCCTTAAGTGACACTCAAATAGGCCTACTAGCAAATCATACAATTGACTGCATGTGTTTAAGGCTTAAGGGTTAGCATTTGGGGTAGAACAGGTAACAGCATAGTTTTCCTCCCATTAAAATGAACATTTTTGGCAGACAAGGCAGCCTAATCTCTGCAATAGTTTTTCTACGGAAACAGTAGCTGGCAAACTTATATACTTATTAATATGACTCTAAGATACATTCCTTGAATGTTAATCAGCTCTATATTCTATACCAAACTAGTGTTCATGGATATTCAACTAAATTTTGATGATTTGTTTTAATTGTTTTAAATCAATGTTCGGGCTGGAAATTTCTGGGAGTTGAAGTCTACACATCTTGAAGTTGCCAAGTTTGAGAAATACTGCTTTAAATAAATCAGGACAGAACAGTTTGGTCTTCAAACAATGTGGTTTTGTGGTTTCCAAACTCTAACCATGACTGCTTTCGATAGGCAGTGAAATAACATATAACTCCAAATTCCAAGTTGTCAAGAATCATAATATTTAAAAGATGCAAATTCCAAGTTTAATTTTCATTTACTTTATAGTATTACATGCATGCATGCTGAGAAGTTTTTCTGTACACGACTGATTCCTGTAAACTAGACAGATCCTTTATCCTCACTGAGAAGGGAGTTTGAAACGAAAAGAGGCTGAGTACAAAGTTAGGAGGCTAAGAAAATGTGAGGAAAAATCTATACTTTATGAGTGTTTAATTTTAAGACGTTCCAGGAGTTTGACTGAAAATTGTGTTTTAAAAATAAACAGAACATTAAAATAGTTCCAATTGTATATAAATCAAACATATACTGAACAAATTACATGCTTTAAACAAAATGGAAAAAAATTATATTTTAAATGAGAGAAAAATGGAACGTGTTAGATGTCATAAATCATGCATGGAAAAAAATACTTTTTGCAGTTAATCTTGTGATATTATAATTTTTCTGATCAGTTTGAAATCAGAGTAAATGGTAGTTTGGCTTGCTATCTTTTATCTTGCAGAAACTCCAATTACTCCATTTTTCAGGCTTTTTAAAAATTACTTTACACATGATTACTTTAAATTTACTTTAAATTACTTTACACATGTAGTATTTCTTGGGACAGCGATTTATAAATTCAGTCTAAGCATCTTTTAAAGCATAATTCAATTACAAAAAGAATAATCACAACAAAAACAATTAAGATGTTTTCCCAAGTAAATATTTTATTGCTTTCGTCAAGAAATTGTATTCTCAGATTTTTTTTTTTTAAAGACAAGACCCATCATTAGGCCTATATTTTAATGCTCTATTGTATGCAACTACTATGGTGCAGACGCTGCACAATTAAAAGAACGTATTTTAATAAAAATATACAATTCAGCTGTGCTGTCAAGAATAAAATAGATCATTCTTACCACTGTGGACATGAAAAAGCTAATACAAAATGTTAAAAATTATTGTTGGGCATTGTAAAGGAAATATAAAAAGCTCTGAGCTGCCACAGCAGCCCGGAGAGCACTCATGCTCAATTTTAGGTGCCTTGAATGTTAGCTACAACTGTTGTGTAAAGCTTTTTCTTTCCTGAAAAAGGGCTTGAGAAGATGAGTAGGATGAAACAGTTGCAAATGGGGGGAAAAAATTCCAAGTGATATTTTAAAGATTCTTCAAGCTTCATCCTAATACATTCACTAAAGACATGCAGATGCATTATGCACTTTAGTTAAATTATGAGAAAAGGTTATCTGTAAGCTCCAGAATGCATCAAGAGGATGAAAGGTGAGTGTATCAGTCTCCCTGGCCCACCTGATCCAGTTTGTCTAATTCTTTGTCAGGGAGGGTGTTATGCATTCTGTATGCACCATAGCTCTTCTGAGTGCCATTGGTTATACTTGTATCCATAGGGCAAATATAATCTGTAGATTCATCAAACTTCTTTTTTCTTAAGTTTCCAAAATGTGAAAATCCAAGTTTCTTTGGCTGTCAAGAATGAAGGGTGGGTGGGTGGGTGGAGAAAGAGAGAAACAATTGTCAGAAAATCACTAAGGGGGAAATGCAGAAAACACTGACAGTTAAAAACGACCTCTGTTAAATAATAACACCTTTCACAGACTTTACAAGATTAATTTGAACGTTTTCATTGATTTTTCAAGTTCCTGTAGGAAATGAACAAATGCATCAAAAGGGGAGGATTGTCTTTCTGCTAAAGAGAAGGGTTAGTAATGGAGTCACTGACATAACTTTTTGGATTCCGTATAGGGAAACTAACCTGAGGTAAAGTTCTTTAAAAATCAGAGCATAACTGTTTACCATTTTAGCAAGAAGTATTAACCTATCCTTTAAAAGAACAGGAATGGTAATAGACTAAACTTTGTACTGCTGCCATCATGTTCCTATTCAACTTTAACTCTTCTAGGTACATTAAATTTAAGATCCTCAAGGGCATGCATACAGGGGTGGGTTCCACTTATCTTCGCTACCAGTTCTCAACGGGAGTGCGCGCATGCTCGTTTCGCTCACGTGCAGCACGTATGCGCATGCGCAGAGCGTCCATGATGACGTCTGGGCAGGTGGGCAGAGCCTCCCGCCGCCACTACTACCGGTTCGCAAGATCTGGACCAAACCGGTAGCAACCCACCAGCATGCATACCTTTAAATACAACAATTAACCCACAGAAGAAAAAAACAGATCCCAGCTACCGAGTTTGTGATATGCAAAGTAGCAGAACATAAAGAAATGCTTCTTTAAAACAAACTAACTACTGTACTCAGTGCTGAGAAACACACACAAAGTTCCATGTATCTTTATAGAGAGCTTTTCTTCCATTCCTGCTCCCAAATATCAGACCTCTCAAGTGGCACAAAACGATAGCAACAACATCCCATGATTTATTTATTTTTTTCCAAAAAATAAGCTTTAAAAAAATCTGGACAAACAGCCTTTCTTCAAAAAAAGAAAGGAAGAAAATTATCATTGCAAGCGTACTGCCCCATAATGAATCCTGGTTAGCACCATAGATTAGTCCTCCTATTATGTTCACTTAGAAATAAACCTATTTCTACTATTCTGTCTTCTATCTTGTGTGTGTGTGTGTGTGTGTGTGTGTGTGTGTGTGTGTGTGTGTCTTTGAATCAGCCTTAATATAACCATGCATTATTTTGGAAGAATCTGTTTTCCCTTGACTTCTTCTTAGGGCTGAGAGGGAATAACTGGTTCAAAGTCAGTTTGCACAAAACACTGTTACCTTCCCACCAAAGGTGGTCCCTATTTTTCTACCTGCATTTTTATGTGCTTTCGAACTGCTAGGTGGGCAGAAGCTGGAACAAGTAACTGGAACTCACCCAGTTACGCAGCACTAGGGATTTGAACCGCTGAACTGCCGATCTTTCGATCGACAAGCTCAGCTTCTTAGGCACTGAGCCACCACGTCCATCTCAAAGTCACCTAGCTGGCTTCTAAAGCTGAAAGAGGACTAGAATTCAGGTTTCCTTACTCCCAGCCCTTAATTTACGAGACCAGACTGGCTCTCAACTTAAAATTTGGAATGCACAATGAATATAAGTCAGATGCAACAATCAGCAGGGGATGTTTGCATCATTGTGCCTTGGCTGGAAGCTATGCCGCCTTTCCATCCCATGGATAAATTTAAGTACAGAATTTCAGCTACTAAAAAATAAAAAGCCTCTAATACTCTGCAGATGCTGTCGTTAGAGCCCCAAATTGGTTTAATAATTAGAGCAGATATTTCTCATTTGGGGACACTAAACTGAAATCCTTACTGTCTCTTAGCCAGATTTCCCAGAATTCTTTGGGGAAGCATGCTCTTAGTGTACAAAAAGTCTCCATTTTTAAATAACATAGCAGTTATAATAACTCTTATTCATCTATTTAGAACTCCTATTGACCTTTCAATGAAACTCACTCTCAAGTAGTTACATGGATTACAAGATTGCTGCCTAAGAGATTACTGGCTTTT